TATGTGAATTTTATAGATTTGGCGAAACGCTCTCAAAAATTAATGACCACGAAAATCTCTGGGGCGATTATTGAATATAGAGAAATCATCTCTCTCTCTCTCTCGCACTCTCTCGCGATGGCCAGCAAATATTTCTGCGCATTTTTTCAACTCTCCCCCACCCACAATTTTCATTTTGCACAAAATTTCATCCACGAGAAGCGTGGGTAATTTCGTGGCATATTTTTTTTAATTGTGATTGGTTGAATAGAAAAAAAGTCAATCCAATAATCGAATGAGTCCACAAAAAAAAACGATGCAAATCTCTTGAATGGAAACAATTTCAATTTCGATTTATCACACACAACATAAAATAATGGCAGTCATGCAAACATTGCTGTGATATTCGGTGAAGTGTTTTCATTGCAAATCGTCAACATAATACGAGAAATGCAAGCTAATCCGTCGCACTGCTCATCAATTGGGGTAGAATTTCATAATCAGGGATGAAACGAATACACAGTTTCACAGAATGCGGATTGCAAATCATACATGAATATTTAAAAAAATGTGATCAATTGTTTTCTGCAGGAACAGCGGGAGAAATTCTCAAGAATTATATACGATTTAAGAATAAAATAGAATCCAATTTACTCACAATTTTCTCCTTAGTTTCCACACAACGCACGCAAATCGTGGGAAATTGCATAAGATGACAACTTTTGAACAGAGAATTTAAACTAACGCTTCTCCACATCCCGAAAACATTGTGTTACTGATTTATGAACGACTCAAGCCAAGTGTGAAGAGAAAAATGAAGAAATACAGTAAATTTTGCAAATTGAATAAAAATCTCTATATAAAAATCAAAACAGCATTTTTCGTGTTTTTCCGTTAAATAAATCAGTTACTAAGAAATGTAGATTTTTTTTTTCAAAGATAACTTTCACGCAATTCCCCAAGAAGAGTGACGCAGAAAGTGGGTGGGCAAAAAAAAAGCCAATCCAGGAATAAATTGCCAAAAATATACCAACAACATGTTTAATTTATATTTCATCCGTGATATTAAGTTAAGATTAAATGGCTGTAAATTTTCATTTGGAATTGACTTATTTTTGCAATTTTAGCTGCACATAAATATCATCGAATGGGGCATTTTTATCGGAATTACGCCATTGGACAGAGAAGTATTGCGGACATTGGTAATCTAATATAGAGGATTTGCATAAAATAAATAATGCGGTGAATGTTTAGATTTCTGGCTGGGCGGCTGAAAAAGGCGCGAAAAGATAATTTCTGCCATCAACATGCCCGCAATGGATAATCTTAAAACTCACAAATTTATCACTGTTTTCACTCGATTCCACTTAAGTGACTCCATTCGTCGAGCGACTTTGTATACAAATGCATTCGTTTTCCAATTATGTGAATCAGCATCATTTATCCGTGGACACGAGAAATTCTCTCCCCTTCTCGAAATTGGTCTGTATATACAATGTCGCTGAGAGATTTGGGCACCAAAAGGGGCAATAAAACCGAAGAAGTGTTTTGAGTCTATTTGACAGACTTTTTTCGGTAAAATACGATCTAATTCCCGACGCACAAAAGGTCCATTGAAATTCATGCGCACTCTCGAGTGGCTCAATTTATGAGCTCCAGCGGGAATAATGGACAAATGGACTGCGTGTTGAGGAGTCAATTTGTTCCACGGTTTCCCACTATCATCACAAGCACTGCTTGCAGCACTTCCAAAGGCAAATACGCAGAGATGCTGCGAAGAAAGTGTGCATTCCTCGAGATGAATCAATGAATAAAATGATGTCACTGGGGTGTTACACAATGCATCTCTCCGTGGATCTTTTAGCAATGCTATTCTATGAATTTTGATGCAAATTTTTATGACTTTCCTCTGACATGCACACATCCCTGCGTGTCCCTCCTTCCCATCAACGCCACACAGCAGCGACATATTTTTACGACTCTCGAAAATATCATGGCGCGCACATGAATATTTGCTGAAAGACAGGAGGACAATATCGCGTGGATGTGTGAATGCGAGGAGACAAACGGGGTGACGGAATAATAGATGGAAATGTTGCCTGAAAGTCTTCTTATGCTAATGAAGTTGAGAGGATGAAATAAAAAAGAACTTGTACAATTTTGTACCGATGAATTCAATTAACACTACACGAGACTCAACCTGAAATGAACATACGTTCAGAGGAGGATCAATAGTGAGAATTGATTTCATTTTCACTCTTAACACGAGAACTTGAAGCAGTTTTGAGAAGGATTAGACATTTTCCATGTTGCGAAGTGTGCTAATTAATTACACATTCTCATTTAGAGATTTTTTTAGGGTCGAACTGTAAAACAAGGGACAGATATTACGGTCGGAAATGGTGTACAGCTTTATGTGAAGTGTTTGCGGTGAAAAGACATCAGATTGGTTGAGCTAAAATAGTAGAAACGAGCTTAAATGTCATTTAATCCTTAGTTTTATCCGCTGTTTGTGCTCAAAAGTGGGAAATTTAACCTCAATATCCTGTAGAAACATTGAAAAATTCGCTTTATTTACTCATTTCCAGATTTGAAAGGATTCAAATTATCCCAAGAGGAATTTTTTTTAAGCTGAATTCATAACCTCACAACTTGTTTAGAAGTCTTTTAAACATTTTCTCAAGACAAAACTAGAAAATTAAGACAGTAAAATCTGTATTAAATTCTGATAGGTTAGAAACGAGTGCGTGAAAAAGTTTAAGGAGTCGAAAAAGCGGTGAAAATGCCTTTCAAAGTGTTCATAAGTGTCACGAAGTAGTGTACAGATTAAGGGCATATTATCTCCCCCTTGTTGTGAAGCTAATATACACTTAGAGAAATATTTCAGACTCCGCCTATTGGAAAGCCCCGCCCATTTATGGTTTATTCTACAGTTAGCATGCCTTATTAAGTTTACATGAGCTTAAAAAAAATTCAGTCATCGATATTTGAACGGAAAAGTGCCGAGTGGCGCTTCGCTGAGCACTTGAGAGCCCCTAGAATTCCTTCGGCAGTCAGCAGTGTCACCTTTGGTCAGAACAACACGCCCTGCAACTGTGCAAATAGAATTCCTCAGAGGACAGTTCACACAATGTGACTCCTATCTGCCAAATGCACGTCAGAATGCCTGCTCGATGCACTCTCTCGAGCTGTGGCTGCATTGTCCCACCGGCAGAGGCGATGGGGCGTCCCATCAGCATCTCGAGCGCAATGTGCACAACTTGGTGTTCTTTCGCCAAGTTGAGGAGTTCCGCACAATGTGTACTTGGCCGTAGAGATGCATGTTTACAATAATAATGCTGCCGCTGTTGTGCGGTGACGAAAATGCCACACACGAGACACAAGACACATTAAGTACGACTCAACTCAGCACACAATTAATGTATTTGCATGAGTACAGAGTCAACGGAAATTGGAACAAGCCAGAAGCTCATTTGCCATTCTCAAGTATGCGGAATATCTGGGGTGGCAGCGTGGCAAATACACTTTGCAACAAACTATTAAGTGGAGGTGAAAGATAAGCTCCAGCACTCTTCTGACAACTCTCCCGAGAGTGGGTGCATTTCACCCTCAAACATCCCCCGGACGAATTGTCCGAATGCGGAGCTCTTTTAACCCAACACTCACACACAGCCAACTTGAGCCCCAGCAATTCAGGTGGATGGATTGAGATGAGACTAAATTACAAAACCTCTCCCCATATTTATCGACATTGTTGATACGGTGAGGCATAACATTTTGCTACTGTATCGATTTTATAAATAGTTTACTGCACTCAATCACGTGAATAAATGAGGGCGTGCATTTGGATATGGAGTCTCTTCACATTCGCCTAGAGGGTAGCTTTTGGCGGAATTACATTTACCCAAAATTTGTCACGACAAACAAAGATTTTCCCCGATCAATGTGCATCTCCCAGAGCGATAAAATCATCAAAGAGAGAGAGAGATACTCAATGAAAACTATCGACAAAGAGACATACTAAATATGATTGCGGAGAGGGATTGATGGCGAATTACTAGAAAATGCGTTCAAGTAACACTTTAACGAGGTCAAGCGAAAGAATGGCTCAATAGAGACTTTCTTGGGTCAACTTTTTTGCAGACATCATTTTATCGCCCCTTCTAATTTTATCATTCTCAGCCAAGAGTATTTGTGTCGGTGGAGCAGAGCTTCGGATGAGGAGTAATTGGATGACTGTGAGTCCCTCCCACACTTCCCGTGGCAGTAAAAATCCCCCTTCTGCTGAGGAAGTGTTGATTTCACTGAGCAAAGCCAAAGACGTGGTGCGGAAAACAGAGGCCAGGGAAATCAGTCACGTTTCTATCAAATTGTCAAATCGCCCTCAATGGAAGCTTGTGTGAGGTGAATCTCAGAGTCACAATTTGAATTCCGCACTGACAAGGCTCCACAATAGCTATAGACAATGTATCACTTTCCCCTTATTTACTCCGCAGGTAATTTAATTGACGGTCGGACGCGGAGAGAAGAGTCTTTGACTGACAAACTGTCTCGATGGCAGGAAAAAAGCATATCGGAGTGAATCAATTAAAATTCCACTCGATGGAATCGTGTTGCACGACACGTGACAATTTTCTCTGACACTTTTCCGTATTTCCGCGCGCGCCAAAGCTCCTCATCGCTATGAAGAAGTTTAATAAATTCATTCAGTCAAATATTATCGCTCAGCGAGAAGCGAGCGAATGACTCCGGATTCTCGAGCGCATCTTAAATACACCTCCTTGGGAATTAATTAAATTTCACCCAGGACAAAGGAACATGATATTGAGTGGAGCTTTTATGGCCCCAAGGATAAATTCAAGCGTCGAGTCGCCTTGTTTACCGTCAAATGCCAAACAGAGTCGCAAAAAATGCGCTGACGGAAGTGTTTAATTAAATTTCCCTCCCACATTTTCAGGTGACCAGGGGACATTCGGCTCCTTCCGGGCGCTTCTACAGTGGCTGGCAAGGGCAGTACTTACAATTACAACTAGGTGAATCACATTTGGAACACATCGCTACGTCGATGCACCGGCCAGGCTGCTCGTTGGTATCAGGCGCGTGATCTGTAGCGCAGTGGGAAGAGGCAGGGATGAGTAGGACAGCGGCGAGTCCGAGATGTTCCGCAGTGCAGGACCGCTCTCCGCGTTGAGGTTCTTGTTCTGCAGCTGCGACGACAGGAACGCCTCCACGTTGTAGTATGGATTCGCGGAGGCCGCCAAGTATGTGTAGTAGTAGGATGAGTAGGGGTTGGGCGGCGGAGGGGGCGGCAAATACCCTCTTCTGCTCGTACACACGCTGATGGCTGCAAGGAAAGTGTGTCATGTCAGTACCACAGTCAGTGGAGGTCCCAAACGTGGAATCTGAGTGAAGAACTAAGAACTCTAACACTTCAAGCTTAGTTCTTAGGTCTTCAGCTGGAAGACAGTGAATAGAAAAGCTTCGATGCGACAAACCACACTAGATCACATATATTTTACAGCCACTTTCTTGAACATCTTCAATACGAACGGACGATTATCCTGTTCTGATGTGTAGAAATATCGGTGAATGCTTTCTAATTCCAGAAGTCCTGAGAATAATCAGTTGTCTTATTCCTTTCCCGTCTATAATTTCAATGATTTCAATGCCAAGATTCTTCATCTAATTGCAATTTTGTCAATGAAATTCGTTCTGGATCTCATTCCAACTCAACTTCACGACAAGAAGGCAGTAATTGTGCCATTTTAGTGTCCTGTTTTAGTAGACACAGCTTTCCTCGGAGTTTCCGATAGTTTTCCATACTTGTTTTTGTCCTTTCTCTTGGTTTTACACGTTTTACATCTCAAGTTTGCGTCCTCAAATCAGGATTCAAGCCAACTTCAATGGCTAATGCTTATTATTCGGATCCTAAGAATATCACTGATCCTGGTATTTGAGTCTCCTTGGCTATGAATTCAAATCACAAAATTGCAAGAATGGCAACAAGGTTATCCTTTTGGCCATGTCTGTGCAATTATCTATAGATAATTGCATAAATGAAGTAATCATTTCCAGAGAATACACTGTCATCCAGGTGAAAATTGGACTGAGTTTGAAAGACGCAGCGAACACTTTTCCACACTTGAATATTTAAAATGAAAATCGTTTGCAAGCCAAAAACCACAGATTAGCCATTAAAAATGCAAACTCAAGGCGTCATTGTGTGCAATAAGTTTGCAGCTTTGCCTGGCGCGAGGAAAAAGGCGGGAAAAATCGATCATCAGGTGTAAGTGTATAACTGGGAAACGCTTATCCATAAAATTCAACGTGCAAGAGTCCGGGAAAAGACGGGGTTTTGATCGTAAAATTGACTATAAGGAAAATACATTTCAACTTTTAGTTTTCAAACCATTTCACTCCACCCCGTTTCAACATCCAGGGCACGTTATATTGAGCTGGGGAAAATGAGATATTGTAATCTCCATGTGTACACCTTAAGAATAGATATGGCTGATGGGTGGTATATGGCCCATAAAAGTCACTATGCACAAATGCACATAAATCGCTTTTCACCCTGAAACTCGCTAAGTAAACTTTATTGTAATTACTCTGCATGTTTGATGCATCCTCGCAAGGATACTCACACTACTCCACTGGCGTGATATTGGCCAAAAATTCACTCTGCAGTCCTCGTAAATTAATAATGGCAAGCGAATATAAGTTTCCACAGAACTTTTGTCTCTGCATTCTTTATTTTTCTCTCTCTCTCTCTTTCACTTCTAAGTTAGTAAATTCATATATTGGCGCGCTTTCCTTGCGCTCTTCTTGACTTTACCTAAGTAAATACGCATAAAATTTATCTTTATGAAGAGAGTTGGAGATGAAATTACAAATATGAGCGCAAATATCCTTGCTCTCGCTTTTGGACACACAGACTGTAAATTTTGAACTTGAAATAAGATGTGCCGACATAGAAAAGTACAAGCAATATAAATATTTACGCCGTGTCACTCGGTACTTATTAGTAAACATCACAATTTTGCTACCAACAGACTTAAAAGATACAGCAATGTCCCGAATAAGAAGAGTAATTTCTGCGAATTACAGCAAATATCTCGAAATACACACTTCTAAATGGCTTATCTTGATGATTTCATCATTTATTTTTTTTTCACAAAGCAAAAGGATTAAAAACACCGGATGAACACTTCTCCTCTTAAGTCGTAATTGCACAAACCGTTTTACATGTTCAGAGGAAAAATGTTTAGAATAAACATAAAAGAGGCATTAAATAGTAAAATTTCAATCTCCATAAAATCGAAGAGGACAATTCTAAAGTGTTTAATTTGTACTTAAAGTATACTTGCAGTGATCGTTTTTCTTCTAATTGCATTTGCCCAAGAAAATCACCTTGCCAAGCTGCAGAACGCGTATTTACACAACATGCCTCTTAATTGACTTCAACTTTAATGTCACGCCACACAATGCTTCGATCTTTTGCAAAAATTTTATGTAGAATTCACATAATAATAATTTGTTCTTATTCTCTATTGAGTTGCGCACAATGAGTGATTGCATTTGATAATTTAAAAAAATGTCTGATGAATATTCTTTCCTCTTTCTTCCCTTGCAAAACGCGCGCTGCAATAACAAAAGATTGCCATAAAAGTGATTTGTATGGCTGTGCAAATGCGATAGAAAACATATTCCTAAACATTTTCTCGAACATCGCAATTAATTAATGGGAGCACTTTAACGTCATCTCGAAGGTGAAAATCCTATTCGCCCAGTTGTGGCACGAATGAAAAGAATGGGGATATGAATTGGATTAATTCTGTATCACCTTTTTATTATTGTCTATCGCATGATGCCATTGTTGAGCCTCTCGGTTTTGCTGTTAAAATGAATGATAGCCTCATTGTGAAGGAGCATTTTGACTGCCAGAGTGGCAACTTAAAGAGAGTTTGTAGCAATATTCCCCGCGTCTTTATGCCGTCGAAGAGTTATTATCCAATAAAAAGTTTTTGCCAGACGAGAGCTAAGAAAAAAGAATTTCCTTTCATGCTCTGCAGTTGATGCTTTTGGTGGTCTCGCCTTCAATGCTCTGTCACCCCACGGAGACAGAGTGAAGATGCTGTAAAAGGATGATTCGACGGAATGAATTCAGTTTGTCCCGCAATGGTGAAATCATTGAGGGCTCATGCGGAGATTTTAACGAACTCTCGTCGTCTTTTTGCCAGCCAATCTCTTCTGGGAAATTCAACGTAAGAACTGCAGCTCCGAAAGGGAGAAATTTGCGCTAAATTTCCAGCCTACAAGTTCAACCACCCTCGACAAATGGCAATTTAATATTCAGCGTCACTGTCCAATTATAGTCTTTGAACTATTACAGGAGACAAAGAGTGAAATTGATAGTTTGCCACCGATTAAATGCAAATTGCTTCTTGAAAAAAAAGGGCGAAAAAAGTCTAATATGTCTGGACACATTGTTGAAAATTTATTTTAATTGAACAGCCCAATAATTTAATTCACCAATTGAAAATTCACATTGACGGAATTACAGTCCAATTAGCGATAAAAATTTCATAATTGTTTCACACAATGCCAAGCAAATAAATACAATACAGTTACACTCTTCGACATAATTCACCCAAAATTATGGCACACGGAATGAACTTTTATTGGGAATGTACATCACGGCAATTACCAATAATTTTCCCTATACATATGCATGCATATAAAAATCAAATTATGACTCATTGTTGTGTCGCAAAACAGTCCATCTTGCAGCCAACAAACAAGCGAACCAAAGTGATAATTGATTGACTCGATATCACGTTAGGCCAACTAATAATTCCGTTACAGTCAACCCCACTATTTTATTACTTTGTGCTTTTTGTCTCACAATACTACATATAATTGCATGAATAATTTATTATAGCGCACTCAATACTGGCGCGTGGATTTCCATTTTCAATCGCTCGGATGCCACAGTCATGTCTCCCCTAAATGCATCACTTACAACATTTTCGCGATGCCAGAATACTGATGGACAGACGAGTAGGAAGTTTGCTTGTTCTGACTTTTGCACATGTAAATCATGCTTATGTGAATTCTGATCAGGCCGCAGAAGCTTAATTGTTTATTTGCTGATGATCTTTCGCCACAGAAATGAAATATTTATAAGATCTTTGAGTGAAAAATATTATTCAAATTTCTCCTGCTTAGATATTTTTACCTTTGCCTTATTCCCAAGGGGAGATAATGCAGTCAGAAGTGGTGTACAGCCAAGCATTCCTTTTCATTCCATTCCTTTTCTTAGCGCTTATTTTACTGAGAAATTATCCCTATTCTTTAGATTTTCATAGATTTTTAAGCAGAATCAATAATAAAAATCCTTTTTTGGGTTATCTAACTAATCACGGACAGAAGTCGGGAAGATCGTTAGTTATTAGCTAGAATTAAGCATTTTCATGTGATAAACAAATTGAATCGAAGTATAACATAACCTCAAAAATAGTCGTTTCGACTTGGAAAATGTTCATTTAGAAGACTTTCTGGACAATTTTGACTGTGAATCAGCAATTTTGAGTTCATTGACAATCATAAGAGATGATTTTACGACCTAGAAAGCTTTCAAATTGAGTCTTTGAGGATCTTTTAGTGATATTTTGATGTTATGGTTGGAAAACATACCTGAAAAAGCGATTTTAGGTGAATTTTTTCAGAAACTTGCATAAAAACTTTACGGTTTTTCTTTTAATAATCCAAGAATTAATGTGCAAACAGTCGAAAAATATCAAGTGCTGTAATTGGTGTACACATTTAAGGCATATTATCTCCCCCTTGTCCTATTCAATAGGTGAAATAATTGTTTGCAGTGCACAAAAGAAGCTTAACAATAACATTCTATTTAAAATACTCCGGAAACTTGTGAAAAGAATGCTTGAAACTTTAGCAATAATATTGAGAGATTATTTTCTTTATTTGAAAAGAAACAATTTGCTACACATTTTCTTTATTAGATAAATTTGTTCAAATAAACATTCAAAACACCTACGAATTTCCTTGGCTCAAGCATAAAATCTGCAAAATATTAGTTAAGTAACCGATCCTGTTCCATTATCATAAAATTGGCACCTAACAAATATGTAAGTAAAATTTAATGTATTCAAGCAACTATGTGCGTACATAAATGTAATTTATAGGCTGTCGAGTGCTTCGAAGAGGCTCCAATCTGCCTATTTAACTCCATCTTTATTAATTAGAATATATGTAATATCCAGCATGATGTATTTTATGCTCACTTGACGCTATTTTCTCTGGAAAAATAGCTGTTGCGAGAGTAATTTGACGTTGACAAGGCATGGAAATTTTTGAACTTTTTTCCCCTCAACTGACAGCCGATGTTCTTGGCGTTGCAGCGGTATTTATCTTATGGCTCACGTATTATATCACATAGAGCCTCGTAAAATTGTACAGTGCAATTTTTATTGTTGGCAATTTGAGATGTTATTGTCTATAAATAGGAAACTTGTACGCAAATGCTGTGATGCGCTTCCTCGAGAGCACTTTGCCACCTTCGCGGCCAAATCGATATCCTCTCCGCGAGTGTCTTCGAGCGAAATTTGATCAATTGATTGACATGAGTGCGGTCAGAGCCACTCATGTGTGGCAATATGGAGATGTTCCTCGTCATATTTTAGCGAATTAATGATGAGTGAAGGGCAATTATCCGCGGAAACATTCGATACTTTGTTGTGGGAAGTTGTGGACGTTCTTGGCATCAGCGACGCCTCTGGTGTGGGGCAATTGACTTCTTCATTGACCATTTCTTCAGGCATTCACTTGTCCATCTCTCGATGGCTGTCCAATTGACTAGTCACAACATCCTCGATGGCGAAAATTTATGCACCGCTCATACATTTAATATGTGGCCTGTCGCATGGAAATAGGCTCATTATTGTTCATTCGCTCCGCAAGAATAAATGCGTTATGATAACTGGAAGTGACATTCATTGACAATTTACCAGCTTCGGCCGCTCAATATGGATTTTGTCGCAGACTAACTTGCCCGCTTCGATTGCTATTTGTAGCTAGAATGTATGGCGAGGCTATCGTCTTCTGCCACCTATTTGCTGATAAGGATGTGTTTGTCAACCGAATGCAAGCAAATTTATGCATTGGATCAACTCAAACACTCGCTTGTTCCCCAGCCACTTGCAGGTGATTTACCAGAAAGAAAGATTATGCAAAATGACGAAAATCTTGTGCTACAGAGTTCAGAAAATATGCTAGATTCTCAGAGAAGAAATATATTTCCTTAACAGTGTGTAACAAGTTCTTTTATTCCTTCGCTATTAATTATCGTGCAATAAATTGAAATTGCTCTGCAAATCCATCAGCCTCTTCAGCACACCTCGAGAGAGCTTTTTTCCCAATGGTTTTCATCGGAAGAATGAAGGGAAACTGAAGCATTGGATATAAATGGAACACAATAAAACAGAAATTCAAAGGCACTGAGGGAGAGAGTGAGAAAATTGTACAGCAGAACAAGACAGAAGAGCTTTTCTGAAGTTACAAAAGAAATCTCCTCGGCTAATAACTTTTGTGCTGGGGCGGATAAAAAAGTGTGCAAGAGAAAAGAGGTGTTGATGAAAAAGAGATTAGGAGTATGAAATTACTTATTGCACTCTTGGCATGTTTTAATATAAAAATTTCCCACTGCATCGAAAAGGGCGCGTTATGAGCTTTGGAGTAAAACAAGAAGTTCATTTATTTCCAACTTTTATGATTACGTTTAATGTGCATATGAATTCTTAGGGAGAGAGAGAGAGAATTAATTACACTCCCCGTGAAAGCATTTTCGCATACTTTGACTACAAACATCTTACCATTCGCCTCTGGACATTAATGGCTTTTCTCCTTGCACTTTTTTCTCTCTCACTCTCGCGTTCCGCTCTTTTGCTGGCAATCTTCTTTTCCACAGCCATCCACTTCTTATTGTTGTCAATTTTGATGCAATGCTGCCCATTTTTCATCTCCGCCGTGAAATATCGTTGGAAATTGTATTGAAATTGATTCGTGTTGATTGATTTTCATTCGCCGACAAGTTGATTGGAGAAGTCCACGTGAGTTTCTTGATTGGTGATGTTGATTGAAGATTTTGTGTTGATTGAAGAATTCACTTTTAACACCAACATTCACAATACCGCAAATACTAATATCTACTCACAAATAATCATTTAAAACAATAATTATCCACAAGGGCTCTGAGCAAAAATGCGTCCTTTGCGTCCGAAGCACAGGAGTTTAAGCACTAAGGATGATTGTGATGAAGAGACTAAAGAAAACTCGGCCGTACACGCATAAGTTTATGTACACTTAGTGGATAAGACTAAAATCTACAAATAAAATAGCACGAGTGCAGCCGCCAACCTTGGCTGCAACCGCAAAAACGATCCTTGGGATAAAGATACTCTTAATCTTGTAATTTGAACTTAGGTGTGTTACGAGTGATCGAGCAATAAAATATGTGTTGCTTCATTTGCATATCCTCTCAGATGTTGATTGATGAAAGGCTCTTCAACACATGAAATAGCCCGCGGTTGATTATCATCCACATTGTCGGGTGGAGCCCCTCAATTCGGCTCCATCGTACATGTTCAGATTATGCATTCGAGTATACTCGTTCACTACGCATTGACCTAGATTGTGGAGCGAAGAATCATGTTTAGCAAGCTTTCGAAAATAAAAATCCCACCATTATTAGGTTCCTATATTAGAGGACAAGATCTTAAGCTTGTCTACCGAATTAGAAACTTATTGAGCCAAATGATTCCTGAATAAAACTAAAATTACATGTTTTTCAGACAAAGTCTTGAATCCATAAAATGTCGAAACAAGATGGTTTTTTTTCTCCAATGCGACTAGATTAAGTAAAGCTTGTAACGCAATATTCTTTGCCGCTCTGTGCAATAAAATTCGATATTGCTGGCAAGATGCAATTAATGCCCGCATATAATTTACGCTAATGTTCTATACATATTAAAATTGTACATTAACTTCTTTAGTATTAACAAATTGCGAAACATCTCTTAATTTATCAACGAATCAAGTGGTATTTTAGCATGCAAACCTTCTTCAATCCTTCGTGCCGCTTCTCTCACGTCCACATTGGCATTGTCCAGGATCACATACATGAGGGGCATCAGTTCCCAAGGATAATTGAATTTATCCAGTAACTTCTGACAGTTGTCGAAGAACACCTCGGAGCTTTGACCTGGGAAGAGAAAAAGAGCCGAACGTTAAAAAGTGCATCAACAGAATCCCAGCATTTACGGCATGTCATTTAATGAATAGTCGCGAAGGAAGTATTAACGTGTTGCACTCTATCATTAGCTTCCATTAAAATCAAAGATCACATATGAAAAGGTGCGTCCAGTGCAAAGTTATTGCAAATCTGTTATCTGTCCTAAGTGCCTTTCGTGTTGATCTCGCGAAGGCATCTTTTCTTTCCGTCTTCCTTACAAAGGCACATAATATTAAATTGAAATAATTGTCTTTGACGAGAAATCCAGTGATTGGCAGAGTTTCTAAGCCATTTCTGGTGTCTGGCAGTGAATGTGGAGTGGCGTTAAAGCTGCCACACACACTTGAGATTACTTGAGTTTGACTTGCAATTTTCTTTGCTCGTGTCACTGATTTATTGAAAATCACAAGGTGATCAGCACCAGTCAATGATAACAATCTAAGTATGTCCAAAAGCGTGCGTTATTCTCAGACATCTCTCCAATTTGCGACTGATAGTGACGATATTGACGACTTTGAGTAAAATATTGGATATCGCAGATGTTTATCGGTGCATTTGTGATGAAAATATATCGATTGTTCAAGCTGAACATCTTGTTTGTGCCAGTCTGTGCCTTAGAAAGCACACCTCGCTGTTTAGTGACAAATCAATGCTATTGTAAAGTGTCTAAGCCTTCAATTATTATGAATTTATTTATAACCGCGCCATTTGAAAGTACAGCGTTAGATGAAAATTGAAATGCAAACCACCCACGATTTCAATAATATCACCAAGTAAGGCGTATTACTGTTCAATTACAGTCAGCAATCCTGGTGGCACAAGCCTGAAAAACCAGCGTTTCTGCCACCAACTATTGAAATATCAAACTTATGACTTTGCCATATAAAATTGATTGCAATGAAAGTTCATTAATATTTTATTGAGGAAGCATTTTTGATTGATGATTAGAGTGAGATCATTTGTCACATGCCGGAGCCGGGCCAGGGACTCGGGGAAAACCAGTATTAGATGGAAAAGTGGGAAAAGACGATGAAATTGGAGGCGATAGTGTGGAAAAGAGCGCGCGTGGCGATGCTGAGAGGCGAGGCGGAGCTTTCGATTCATTGGTCGCAAGCGTTCTCCCTACTGCCAAGTGTTTCCCTCTTGTACATGGCTCGAGAGTGGCATAATGCTGAGAGAGAATATGCTGTAGTGTTCGGCTCTATGTACCACAACACTATGCTCTGTCCCATAATGCTGCCTCTAACGGCCGTGGGAATGAGCGGTGCAGCTAATGCCATGTGCCTCGCCGACTCTCCCGAGACCACGTGGATGGCTCTCCACGGCTTTTGGCGCAGCTCAGCCAGCACGCAAGCCGTGTCGGAACGCCTGAATTACATCCCCATCTCGCTCTCACGCCGCACGGGGGCTCGCAATTGCCACCCCCGCGGGCCCGCTCCCCCGCCGCGCGGATCAATTGCAGCCAGTGCGCCCCAAAGAGGCATCCCAGCACTTGTGCCAACTGCCACGGGGTGTGAGTCGCGGGGAGCGTCATCAGGAAAGTTGAGGAAGTAGTAAAATGTTTTATGGCAAACCATACATTTTATTATAAACGAACGAATGAAACGAATACACGGAGCGAGAGAGAAAAAAGAAGTGCTGCATTTCTGCTTGAGAGCTTTTATGTTTCAATGCGATCGCACGGGGGAATTGGCGGACGGAGGGAGGCCCAGTCTCTCCCCAAACAAAAGGCACTTCGCCCATCGAGGGTGCTGAAGAGATGCACACAAGATGACTATAAAAGGATTCAATGCAGTACTTCGCGAGTTTTCAAGTCTTTTCGCCATGTCGGCGCAGTCCCAGATTTTTGGGCACACTTCCGATTCCGAGTGGCGATGTTGGCGTCTAGCAGGATTTATGTGTGCAATGTCTTCATTCCAGCACTCTGTGGAATCAAAACTCGGGAATCGAGCGATTTCAGGACATCGAGAGAATCAGGGAAAGACACATTTTGGCCCTGAAAGATGGCTTCACAGCCTCTAACGGAATAGATCAATTCAAGATAACTAACTAGAAAGATTCTGAATGGTTAACTTTTCGAAACACGGAGGATTTGAAGCTGATCTACAAGTTTATAGAAGACTCACAGTTTCTAAATTCACCCTAAAATTCAGTCAATTGATCGACAAGACGCAAAATTCCTGAATTTCAACTTTTCTCTTCCAAAACCCCATTTGCCCAGTGAACACGATAAGGCGGACAAAATCAGAGAGAACAGTTGTAAATGCTGAATCTCAGGAGACTCAAGTATGCAACCATTCGGAGATATCAACCCGTTTTTCGGTACGACGTCCAATTAATCAAACAACGCCATTGCGGTGCATATTTATGACTGGATTTTATCGCTGCCACATGAGGACAATCAATCTGAACGGTTCTTCTGCATCACAGACATATTCAACAAGTTAATAAGACTCCGGGATAGCGCAGAAGGGTTGCATTGAATCACATTTGAGTGCAGCACTAACAAGATTAGGGCAATCCAGTGACCCGGAATGCAATCTTCGAGATTAAGTGTGCAAAAAGCGTCTCAGCGCCCAAGTTTATAATGCAGGGTGTATAATTTAAACACATTCAGTGATTGATTGCTATCAAATTTTATGTTTGTCGCTGCATTTTCCAAATGACGCTTTACGATTGCAAAATTATACACGGACACTTCTCTTTGGGCCTGCGAGTGAGCCAGAGCGAGACTCACTCCATACCGAGAACTCATTATGATGCCTTCCAGTTGCACTTTGTGCCGCGAGTCGTGGAATCTCTCGCGCATACATAGTTTTAATGTGTTGAACCCCATCTTTTGCCGAGAATTTAATATTTTGTAGGCGGTGACTGCGAGAAATTCGCAAACATTACTCTTCCTCTGCTTTGGCCTTTGAGCCATGCGGAGTGTGTATTTCCTTAGAAAGACATAAAAATTCTTGTACTTCTTTTACTACTCCCTATTTAATTTTATATGTATTTTAAACTCTGCGCAAAATAACCACAATAACTCAAGCTATTTTGAGTGTGGAGGAAAATCAAATAGTCTCCGCGCGAAGATCGCTTTGAGTGTGGAAATAAGAGAGCCAACAATAAACAGCACAGAATAATTTGATGGAGGTGAGGAAGTGCAGAATGTAGTAAAGTGTCTTTTAATCTCAATATTAAACCCATCGAATCCAGGAAATAAATGGAAGAATTTTAATTGTCAAGCAAATTGTGTGGACAATTCTCACGCAGAGATTATTCCGCATTTGTTTTATTGATTCCAAATTGATATTTAAAATCTCCTAGTCTGACCAGATAACTTCCCCTTGTGTGCTTGAGTGTTTTCCCTTCGCCTGAGGAATGCACCATTTCATTCTCTCTGCCGCATACACACTCCAAACTTCGCGATAGGTATAATTATCCTTGGGTTATGGCAGTAATAAACAGAAACGTAAAATATAAAATACTACTTTGCAATACTGCATATGATTTAGTAGACAAATAAAATTCATGACTCGTCCATTCATGATGAAGGAGAAATTGCACATTTAATGGGTCCTCCTTTCGTGTGTTGCCCGGCAAATCCCATTCAGAGAGAGAGCCCAAAAAAGTCCTCCACTCATCACCAGAAAATCCCATTCTTTTGTCCGACAGCCTCGTGATTTTGCGCTGCTCAACAAAAGCGCGCCGAAGCTTCAGAATATCGTCCAGTGTCATGAAGATATCGGCTCGAAAAAGGGCCTCGCAACTTAGACATTATTGTTAAGAGGTCTACTTACTCACTATGTGTACGCTAATTGGATCGTAAAACGATACAAAGCCACAATTTTGTTATTATTATAGGGTTCCATGGTTGAGGGTAACAATCTGCATCGGTTGGTTTCTTGTTTTTTCGTACGTTTCACGGCACACACAAAAGTGCCTCGTAAAATTTGTCCGCACACAAAATTATATTGAGTCATGTACTTCTTTGTAAAATCATGCACATTGTGCAGAAAGGCATTCTTTCTTCCATGGAAGGTCAGTCGGAAAACTTCGGCTTGAATTCTCGATTGGCACGAAAAATAAAAATTATTTTCTTTTGATAAAATCCAATTATCTTCAAGAGTATTTCAGATCAACAGAAAAAGGCAAAGAGAATGATTTTGGTTAAATTTTACTCAAAATTTGAGCTCTGTTTTAAATAGTCCTGGAATAAAAAAAAATGCTAGAACCAAAGTATAAAATTCAACCTTCAGGAAGAAAATTAATCTAAGGCGTCGTAGCAATTTTTCTTTCAAAAAATTTCAAATTAGCTGTCAAAAATATCGATTTGTAAAAAGGTTTTGTGAGATTACGATTCATATTAATTACGAAAGTGAAGAATTTATCCCCTGACACCCCTCAAACCTTTTAAACCTTGACGTCTGAAGCCAATTCATATATTTAATCGCATGAACACATCAGAAGCCAAAAAATTCACGTTACAACCAAGGCAATCATGATGATTTAATGTAGATTCTTTGTGCATATTTCAATGCACCAGATTGAGGTTATGTGTTTCTGGACATCTTTTGACTTTTCGCAAGAAAACTGATTGACTTCCCAAAGCATTTGCAACTCTTTGCATCCAAGATATTCCTCGGTAATCTCCAAAAACTCCTGGAAATTCCTTAAGATTGGTTTACGAAAAGCGTAAAGTTGCAACCATAATTTATAGTCTTTACGAACTGAAATACAAAAACTGTAAAGCTACAATGACTTGCAAATGAGTTTGGATTTGAGCGGTTCTACATTTGGTAGAGAAAAGATCTACTCAAGAACTTTATGCTCGACTCAGATAATGATATTCATCAACATTGGTCCAACTGAAATTATGGGTCACAACTTGGCGAAGAAGATATTCAACTGAAAAGCGAAATGAATGATTCAAACCCTTCAGGCTTGCCGAATTCTAGAGGTCATTTGCGTATGCAATTGAA